TGATTTCTTGATAGCAGCCATTCTTTCTGGGGTGAGGTGGAATCTCAGTGTTGTTTTCATCTGCATCTCTCGAATGACCAGTGATATTGAACATTTTTTCATATGTTTATTTCCTGCTTTTACTTGTTTGTCTGAGAAATGTCTGTTCATTTCAGATGCCCATTTTTTAATTGGGTCTTTGAATTGGGGGGGTCTGATTTTTTTCAATTCTTTATATAGTCTAGATAGTAGGCCTTTGTCTGAGGTACAGCTGCTAAAAATTTTTTCCCGCATTGTAGGTTGTCTCTTAGCTCTGGTGGTGGTTTCTCTTGCAGTATAGAAGCTTTTTAACAATGAGATCCTAGTTGTTGATTCTTTGTGCTAGTTCCCGTGCTACTGAGATCTCATTCATTTTATATCAGAAAATACATCCAGCATCTCCAAGCATACAAAGAATTCTTTTTTTTTTTTGAGACAGGGTCTCACTATGTAGTTCAGACTGCCCTGGAACTCACTATGTAGCCCAGGCTGGTCTCAAACTCACAGTGATCCTCCTGCCTCAGCCTCCCGAGTGCTGGGATTGCAGGCCTGTACCACCACACCTGGCTTTTTTACAATATTTTTTTGTTGGTGTTTTGTTTGTTTTGTTTTTTGGTATTGGGGATCGAACTCAGAACCTTGCACTTGTGAAGCAGGCTGTGGAATCACTGAGCTAAATCCCCGGCCCCCACAAAGAATTCTTAAAAGACAAGGAAAAAGAGGACCGGGGATTTAGCTCAGTGGTTTTGCTGCCTGCTGTGCAAGCACAAGGACCCAAGTTCGATTCCCCAGTACCAAAAAAAAGACAAGAAAAAAGAAAGCAAAAATGGGCAAAACATTTGAACAGATACCTTCACCAAAGAAGACAGGCAGATGGCAAGTATATGAAAAGATGTTCAATATCTTATGTCATTATGAAATTGCAAATTAAAACAATGAGATACCACTGTACAACTACAGCATTAACTAAAATCTAAACCACTGACAATACAGTACTATGTGCTGACAAGGATGAAGAGCAACCCACATGCTGATTCGTTGCTAGTAAGAATCTACAAAACAGCGCCTTTGGAAAACAGTTTGGCAGTTTCTTACAAACTGAACATACGCTTACTATACAGTACAGTCTCACATTCGTGCCTCTAGGTATTTACCCCATTCAGTGGAAAACCTCTGCCTGCACAGACATCTGAACATGAATGGTTATAGCAATGTTATTTATATCACCAAAAACTAGAGACAACCAAGATGTCCAAGAAAATGGATAAAAAAACTGTCATACATTCATACACTGGAATATTATTTAGCATTTTTAAAATGAGCTCTCAATCCACAGTAAGATATGGAGAAGGCTTAAACACTTATTGCTAGGTGAAAGGAGCTAGGCTGAAAAAGCTGTATATTACAGTTCCAACCATGTGACATTCTTGTAAAGGCTGTAGATAGTAAAAGACATCAGGAGTTGCCAGAGGACTGGGGAGAAGAGATGCAGAATGAAACAGTGAATCTTGGGAGTTATTTAAATCCATGAAACATTGTATATGATACTGTAACAACAGAGACATTATTTTGTGCATATGA